TTTCACTGTGCATAACGAACGAGTACATACAAACACCCAAGCACAGCATGGATTTCTACAGTAACGAATCCGACGATGATCCTTACCCTCCTCCACCCGGTCACGCATGGTCACCGCTACGCCTTAATGAATAATCACTGGTTGTCTGATGACCCAACCCACATTCGTTTGCTCTCGCAAGGTGACATGCAAGACTGGAACGAAATGATACCCGGATACCACACGAGGATTGGCCTGGAGCAAGAGATTGGATAGGATACCTGTCTACTTATTTACATACCTACTACATACATACCCATTGGATCATATACATGCGCTAGATACCCAATATACGGTCTACACATCATACAGAACAATAAACACACTCTATACATATCCACCTTAGGAACCAGAACCAGCCTGACCTCTAGATAAACCAACCCTCCCCGGCACCTCCACAGCAGGAACCACGGTCTCCAGTCCCCCCCTCAACTCCCCAATACCATCCGCAACCCCCATCTCCTCCCCCCACGGCAACGCATCCACATCCACCTCCCACCCCAACAAACACCTCAACACCACCCCCGCCCCAGCCTTACTCATCACCTCATTCATCTCCTTACACCTCTCATCACAACAACACTCCAAACACCCCTGCGGCATCACACACCCACACGCCTCAATCCGCCTGACAGCCCGTTCCAACAACACATCCACAAACTCAAACGCCTTCGCCGCAATCCCCGACCCACACGCTCCCCCCTTCGCATCATAAAACGTCAATCTCGCCGGCCTCTGTCTCGCAGGCGGATGCAGAATCTTCTGCAACTTCTGCTTATCCATCCCCCCGGACCCTTTTGCATCCTGTACAGCCATCTGTAACTTTCTCCCCAACTCCTTCTTCGCAACCTTACATTCCGTCCGCACGTCCCCCGGCGAAGAAACCACGAAGGTAGGTAATAGCGATAAGATCGCGTGCTCGGCTGCGTGTATCGCCGCTGCGATGTTGAGGTTTCTTGATGAGAGGATTTCCAGAGCTAGCGGGGGGATGTCGATCCACATTCCTTTCGTGTGGATGTCGATCGGGGGGTTGTTGTCCACGGGTACGGCGTCGAGGATGCGTCCTCGTTTGTCGATTTTGAAGAATCCGTAGACTACGGCGTGGATGAGGATCGAGCCGAAGTAGGCTTTGCTTACTGTTGCTGTTGTATTTGTGTTGGTGTTGTTGTTATTGGGTTGTGGAGTGGGGGTTGAGTTTGAGGATGAAGGTGTAGAGTGTGAGGGTGTAGGTGTAGAGAGAAGACGAATATTCTCCGTCTCGATGGGGTCAATGTCGGTGTAATCGCGTTGCTGGGTCGTATAGTCCACATGAACGCGCGAGACACGGGCGAAGTACATCGATGTGTTTAGTTCGTGCACGAGATACGTCTGCCCCTGGTGGAGGAAGATACCCCCTTCGTAGATGGTGAAGAAGGCGCGGGAGGCTTCGACTTCTTCGAGGACGGCGTTGCGGGCGTTCGTCGTGTCTATGACGGCGAAGTGCTGGTCCTCGGTATCGCGGATGGCGATGGAGCGGGACGGGTTGGGAAGGAAGCGCGGGTGGGTGTGGTAGAGGGAGGGGATGTATTTATCTTGGAGGAGGCGGGATTCCAGGAGGGAAGGGAGTTGAGGACCGAAGTATACTTCGTCGATAGCAGGGGAGAGGGGTTTTTCGTAAGCGGCGCATTGGAGATGCGCTTCGAGGATGAGGTCGTTCGACAGGTCGATTTGCAGCTCTGTGTTTGGTTTCGTGAACAGTTCGTCTGGGTTACGCATGTAATGTTGGTCTGTGGCATAGCGGTCTCCGACTAGGATGGAGAGCGAGTCCTTGTTCCGGCGGCCGGCGCGGCCGCTTTGTTGGCGGAGGTTGGAGATGGAATAGGGGAATCCTAGGGTGATGACTGCGTCGAGGGAGCCGATGTCGACGCCTAGTTCGAGGGCATTGGTGGCTACGATGCCGAGGAGACGGCCTTCGAACATGTCCTTTTCGATATTGCGGCGGTCTTGCGGGCTGTAGCCGCCGCGGTAGCCCATGACCATGTTGGCGATTTCGGGACGGTCGAGGGCGGCGAGTTCGGTGCGCACGGCTTGGAGGAGGACTTCGCAGAGCTTGCGGATGCGGCAGAAGGCGATGACGCGGGCGCCGCGGAGGATGAGTTGGGAGAAGAGACGGGCTGTTTCGGAGACGCTGTCGGCGCGGCCGGAGGAGGGGTCGTTGGGGTCTTTGTAGGGGGTGTTCCAGCAAAGGAATTCCTTGCGGCCGGAGGGGGAGCCGTCGGAGTCGATGAGGTGGATGGATTGGGGATCGACGCCGAAAATGGCGTGCATGTGTTGGGAAGGGTTGGCGACGGTGGCGGAGCAGGAGATGAATTGGACGGAGTGGTTGCCGACGGCGGCGCAGATGCGGCGGAGACGACGCATGATGAAGGCGACGTGGGTGCCGAAGAGGCCGTTGTAGACGTGGAGTTCGTCGACGACGACGAATTTGAGGTTCTGGAGGAAGGTCCGCCAGGCGGCTTCTTGGGGGAGGATGGTGATGTGGAGCATGTCCGGGTTGGTGAAGATGATGCGGGCTTCGTCGCGGATGAGGTTGCGGTTGGACATGGGGGTGTCGCCGTCGAAGGTCTCGACGAGGGTGCCTTGGAGGCCGTCTATGAATTGGAGGAGTTCTTGCATGCTGCGGCGTTGGTCTTGGGCTAGGGCTTTGGTTGGGAAGATGTATAGGCCGCGGGTGGAGGGGTTGTGTTCCAGTTCGTGTAGCATGGGGACTTGGTAGATGAGGGATTTGCCGGAGCTGGTGGAGGTGGATACGATGACGTGGTGGCCAGCATGGAGATGGTTGATAGCTTCGGCTTGGTGGGAGTAGAATTGGGTGATGTTCTTGGTGTTGTATAGGGCGTTGACGAGGTTCTGGGAGAGTGGGAAGGTGAGGTCGCCGTAGATTGCGGGCTGGGGGTCGAAGACTCGGTGGCCTTCGGGGACGATCTGCGCTGTGTACCAGTCCATCTGGCGGATCTCATCCACGATTTCGGACATGGATTTGCGTTCTTTGGGAATTTGTTGTGGGAGGGTGGAGGGTGCAGTGATGGGGGTATCGTCTTCCGGCGGTTGAGGAATCCAGGCGTGCTTTTCCGTCTCCAGTTTCTCGACTGGGTCGACGGCTTCGTCTTCGCACTGGACGAGGAAGGCGTCAATTGCATCGGTGAATTTCTTGTTTCGCTTCTCGATCAGGCCTAGCATCTGCTTCTGGCTGTACACCGGCATCTTCAGATCCTCGTTCTTCATGCGCCGCACGGGTTTGGTTGGCTCCCCGGTCTGCGGATGCTTCACTTGTCTCTTCAGATCTCCGTCCAGCAGCTCGAAGAGGAGTGTCTTTTTTGTGGGCATCCCCCCATCGCCGAGTGTATCCCTTCCATAGCCTAGTTGTGTTGCTTCCCGGTCTCCAGTCGTCATGACCTCCAGCTTGGCCTCATCGACATACTCGAAGCGCACTGCGCGTGGCACGAGGACTTTCACCCGCGCAACATCCTCCACGGTCAGCTCCTGACCTTGCATTTGCGCCTGCACCGCATTCCTGATGTTGTCGAAAGTGGTGGCAAAGTGCTTTCGCGTGCAGCAGAAGGTGTACACGAGGTTCAGGGCGCGGTGTGTCCGGGCGAGGCTCTTGAATGCCTCCGGCCATGGGGCGGACGGAGTTCGCTTTGGTTGAGCGGGTTTGCGTTTTCCTTTGGAAGGTTTCTCTGCAGTTGAGCTGGCACTTGTGCTGTCTTCTGTCTCCGGCGTCTCTGCCGGTGACTTCGAAGGGGGCTTGCGACGTTGCCTTTTCTTTGGCGCTGGGTCCGTCGACGCGCTGTTGGATATGGGGTCGGGATGCTCGGGAGCATCTTGCTTTGGCTCTGGCTCATCTTGGGCTCGTTTCCGGCCCGATAAGGTATCTGCATTGTCTGCTTGTGCTTTCAAGCCGGCCATACTGACGCCACATTGTGGATGCGGTGGATGCGCGTTCTGATAACAATATTCGAGGTGAAGCAGGTTTCGGATGTGCAGAAACGCGATGTCACGTGTATCCAATATTACCTAAATGGGACGTCGGCCGATAGTCGTTCAGTTTGAGTACACAACAAGGCTAGTCGGAAATGGTTAGTCAGGAATACTGGCCGAATGGCGCAATGGTAGCGCGTTTGTTTTCGGCACAAAAGGTTGCGCGTTCGAATCGCGTTTCGGTCGGATATACTTTTGCTTGCTGATTGTTTTTGCTTTTGGTGGGATTGTTCTCCGAAAGATAATCTTGCAATAGAAACGCCATTATTGATGTGGTCATTGTTAGTGTGTAACCGTTTTCGTGAGTATAAATAACTAAGATGCCACGACATCCGAGCGCATGGCCGGGTTTGCATGGGGACCAGTGATGGACATCTGGACTGTCAGTATGCAATATGGTGACTAGCTTAGTGTTTCTCTAATTAGAACTGCTGGTCAGACAGCGAACCACAGTTCCTCGTTAAGGAGCTCTGATCAAGTGTCAAGTGTCAGGTCGGCGAGTCTCTGTTTCAGTTCCAATTGGGGAACGGTTCGCGCGCGCTAAGAATAACCCGTTTAGGGCTGTCAGGCGGCGATCATAAGAGGTGTTGTTATGCGAAATCCGGGGAAAAAAGGGTCCTGTTCTTGAGACCCTGAATGCTCATCATCACCTCCATCATCAGTATCCTTCTCGTCCATCTCTATCCAGATATTGTCCGCTATCCCGGCCATCCCTCAAGATTCCATCCCACCCAACCACGACACTCCTTTGTCCCAAATATAGCATCCCAACTGCTTGTCTTCGTTTCCGCCCAAAATGTCGCTCTTGGCCAGGCGTGCCAAGGGTCTTTGCCTCCCTTGGCGTCTCAGTCTGACCCCCTGAAAAATTCCACCATTAATCCCATCATGGCTGCCTGGTCGTTTCTATCACTTCGGCTGCTTTTCCTGTCGGTCTGGTTGTACTCTCCAACATAGCTGGATGGTCCTCCGTCAGACTCCCATTTCACCATGCGCAGTCACCACTTAACCGCCTCTCTGCTGCTCCTGTTACACAGTCAACGGGCCTACTCCGACCTGGGTATACAAGTCAACGATGCCGGTATGCCATAGCCCACATCCAATGCCCAGCTACATGTCCTCTAACCATCATGTCAATAGACTCCCTCAAAAACGCCGGCTCCACCATCGCCGACCCATTGATGGTCTTCTACAAACAGAACCAAACCGAAGGCATCCCCGGCAAGCTCACCGACACCTGGTACATCGCGGGGGCCATGTTCATGACCCTGATCCAATTCTGGCAGGCCTCGGGCGTCGACACCTACAACTCCGTCGTGCAGCATGACCTGATGTTCCAAGCGGGAGAAAACTACGACTATTTCTCCTCCAACTACAGTCAATGGCTGGTACGACCCCCCACTCCCTCTTTCGATATCACCCAGTATAATCCCAGCTAGCAACTCGACTAACGATATATCTATAACTACAGGGCAACGACGACCAAATGTTCTGGGGCCTCGCCGCCATCACCGCCTCCGAAACAGGCTTCCCCGAAGTCTCCGGCAAACCCTCATGGACGTCTCTCGCGCGCGCCGTCTTCAACATGCAAGTCAACCGCTGGGACGACACCGCCTGCGACGGCGGCATGCGCTGGCAGATCTGGCCCTACCAGGCGGGGTACACGATGAAGAACGCCATCTCGAACGGGGGGCTTTTCGAACTGTCTGCCCGACTCGCCCGATTCACCAAGAACGATACGTATGCCGAGTGGGCGGAGAAGATCTTCGACTGGTCGGAGACAACACCGCTCCTGAACACGAATGCCACGATCTGGAACGTGGCAGATAGTACCTCCAACGAAGCCAATTGCAAGGATATCGGGAATAACCAGTGGACGTATAACTACGGGACGTATCTATCTGGTGCGGCGTTCATGTATAACTACGTACGTCCTCCACCCATCCCCACCTGCTTCTGCTTCTTCAAGGATCACACCCTAACAGAGAATAAATGGAAATAGACGAACGGCTCCACCAAATGGGAACAACGAGTAAACAACCTCCTCACCTCCATCACGACCAAATTCTTCCCCCAAGACTACTCCAACGGCACCGTCCTGTCAGAAGTAACCTGCGAACCGATCCTATCCTGCGACCGCAACCAGCTCGGCTTCAAGGGGTACGTGGCAATGTGGCTCGCATTCACGGCCCTCCTTGTCCCATCTACACACGACATCATCCTCCCCAAACTGCAAGGCTCCGCGGCAGCCATCTCGAAGCAGTGTTCGGGCACCGGCGACGGACTAGAAAATCTGTGCGGCGTGCGCTGGCACCAGGATACCTGGGACGGAAGCATGGGGCTGGAAGTGCAGATGAGTGCGTTGGGCGGGGTGACGGGGGCGTTGATGATGTTGGGAGATGGGAGTTCGGGGCCGCAGACAATCGATGAGAATCCCGATGCGGCGGAACATCATATTGATACGAGTGAGGATGAGAAGGATCCGACGGCGAAGGAGAAAATTGAGACGGGGGATAGAGCTGGCGCGTGGATTTTGACGGTGCTGTTGGCTGGGTTGATGTTGGGTGCTGTGGGGTGGTTGGTTAAGTCGCAGTGATATTCCCCTCTCCCCCCAACCTTCCTTCCTTCTTTCTTTTTTTTTTTTGTGGGGATCATTAGGGTGTATCTGTTCATGGAATGGGTTCGTGTGTATATGGGTTATGGACATATTGTACTGCTTGCTTCGTTTGGCAATTGTTGATTACTTGGCGAGATACGTACTGCTTGCTGGACAGCCTTCTTCTATTCACATTAGTTATACCATCGCGGGTCGATAGCACATATTCATTCTATCATTTGATATCAATATCTCAGAAATGTACCTAGTAGTCAGATGCTTTAAGTAGACACGGTTTGACATTAAGGCTATGTATGTAGTTAGTGTTGGATAGATATCAGATCGAGACACACTTATTACAGATAGTAGTAGTAGCAGTAATATGAGCTATCATCCAGCATGACACATCAAGTCGATACGTAACATAGTATATCAAACTGACTCGTACCTGCTGCTAAACTGTACCAAATAATGAGAATGATAGACACTGCATACACGCATGCAGACATCCCACCGTGATCAACTCTGCATGATTGCATCTGATTTGATGTGATCTGATCGCGATAAGATCAGCTACTAGCTTAGCTTCGTGTGGATGTCGATCATGGAAGTACTACGTAACTACGTAACTCCTTTGTACCTGAACTCTGCAGGCTAACTACTAGAGTACCTAGATCAGTCTATATTGTGGGTCATCCTCACCCCATCTACTACGTAGTTAGTGCCTATTGTCTAAAGGATCACCATCTTCAATACAGCACATACAACTTAATATACTAGTAATAGTAATAAATACCTCCTAAACCCAAGGAAAACATACACGAAGAGAATGGCTGTGTATACTAGAAAAAAAAAAAGTGATAAATGAAATAGACAAAAGAAAGTAAAAAAAGTAAAATAAATAGGTTGATGGTAATTCCCCCAAGCCACGCGCAAGACACACAACCCCGGTTTCTTGACTCCTCGGCCCAAATGCAAAATGCCAACCCATTTGGTTAATTTTTTCTTCTTTCCTATGTAGATGGTGTAGTAGTTCCTAGATTCTAGTCCGTTGGTGGGGACTAGGACTGCTGCTGGTTATGGTGGTAGTCGTATTTAATTACTGGCGCTTTTTGAAGGTATCCAATAGACACGTTTGTGTGTGCTGCTGCTATTGCATGTTCATGCTCACTGGTACTCCTGGAGGTCGCGAACAACGCGGTATAGTTCTTTGGCGAGGTCTTCGCTTCCGGTCTACGGGGGTCAGTCAGCTTTGATTTGGCTGTTGTAGGTAACGATGGGTGACTTACTCTGAGCAAGATCGGAACAGAGCGGCCACTTTCCAAACTGGCTAGGTTGATCTGCTTCGACTTGGGCTCCTTGCCCTGTCCATCACCAACCGTCATTCCCTTGAAGATGGGCGTGTTCAGCATCACGCGCAGCACGCCGTCTGCGCGCATGATCATGCGAGCTGCCTTCTTGTCCTCTACTCCGTCCGTGACACGGACGTTGACCTTGAAGGTCCCAATGCCACGCTCTCTCCACTCTTTGTTCGTGAAGTGGAAAAGCTTGGCTTTACATGAGAAGTATGTCTTCTCGTTCTCCTCGCCAGTCTCGACTGCGCTTCATTAGCTCGATCCAATGATCCAAAATTCGATAGACCACTTACTCGGACGTTCGAAAAATCTCTCGTCCGTCTTGTCTTGCTCGAACTCTCCCGGGCCGCTGTCACCGGCTTGTTCCTCATCTTCCTCCTTTTCTTCCTCGTCTTCGGGTGCCCCGAAAGCAGACGTCTTGGAGCCGCTCAGAACACTGGGAGCACTAGGGGAGGCAAAGCTCGTAAGTCCACCTGCGGGCTTGGCTGCCGCAAAGCCACCGCTGAACCCAGAGAAGCCAGACCCCAGCGCAGCAAATCCCGATGTGCCGGCTGCAGAAGCAAATCCAGTAGCAGCCGGCTGGGGAGAGTCCGTCGATGCCGGCGACTTGAAGACAGAGGGTGTGGAGCTTCCGAGGGAGCCAAAGGGCGATTGTTCCGAGCTGGCGAACGCGGCCAGACTTGACGCAGCAAAAGCAGTTGACGATGTGGCGGCAGCGGGTTTTGATTCTTCTTCCTTGGCCTTCGCACCAATTGCCCCGAATGGTGAAACCGACGATGTATTCGCAAACGCACTGGTAATGGGAGCCTGTCAAGCACCGCAGCGTATCAGCTTCTATACTCAACATACCATAATACCATAGCACCTACCGATTCCTTCTCTCGCGCATCATCCGTATGTCTCTTCTTCTCGGGCTGTCCTTCCACTTCAGACTTTTCCGTCGAGGCCTCCTCCGCAGCATTCTGCTCCGCTTTCTCGCCCGAAGCACCGACTGTCGATTCATCCTTATCCAACTGATCCCTGCTTCTCTTCTTCTTCGGAACCGCAATATCCCGTGTCACTTCGTCTCCCTTCTGTAGCTGCGGGACTTCCACATCGACATCGGCATTTGCATTCTCCTCCTCGGAGTTCGAGTCGCGCGACCGCTTGCGACGGTGGCCTGCATCGTCTTCGTTCTTCTCCGGCTCATCCTCGTCGAATGATCGCTTCCTGCCCCTGCTGCTGGCCCTGCTGGAGCTTCCTTCCTGCGTATTGCCGGTCATGTTGGCGTCGCCGTCCGTCGAAGTCTTGGGTGCCGAAGTGATCGAGGTTTCTTTTAATTTGTGGCGGACGGGGCGCTCACCGCCGTCGTTGTCGGATGCTTGCGAGTCGTCTGCAGCTGTAGGTAAGAGTAGACCAATCAGCTATCACATACATATCCGTCAAAACCATAGATAACATACCTTGACGCTCCAGCACTTCCTTCTTCGTCTCGTCTACTATCCCAGCTCGTCAGTACAATCATTCCAGCCTAGAACCTTCCGCGACCGCAAACGAAGAAAAAATTCAAATCAAGAGACAAAAAATATGTACCTTCCACCCCACCATTCCGCTGAGGATCCGCAGCCATCTTGATATGAATCGGTCCGATAAACAACGCTTGCCAGTGATGATGTATCCGCGATATGACCGAAAGGGGGAATGTAGCAAGAAAATTGTGTGTGTGCTCACGCCGAGGACATGTGTTCTAGGCAAGCGATGGAAGCGAAACAACCGGGTCGAGTGTAGCCGATAAACGAACTCTGCAGGACAAGGTAAACAGAAGATGTTAGCCCTTTGGAATAAGTGCAAGCAGCTGCATAGGAATGCTAGCTCCCTTGCGATAGTAGAAAGACAGGTCAGGTTGGTTGGTTGGCCGGCCCGCGGACGCAATGCGAGGTTGCAAGCTTGCAGGACCATGCGATGTGCTCAGAGGAGGGGAGGGGAAGGGGAAGGGTGAGCCAGCAGATCTACTGGGGACAGTACGAACAGAGATAAATGAATATCGTACAAGTTTGACTGGAAGCAAGTCTGGTCGGACGAGCCCGCAGTGATAGATAGCTAGCAGGCAATCAAGCAAGCAAGCAAAGCACTGAGGCTGAGGGGAACGTCAGAGAACGAACGGGGCAGCGGAGGGATGGGCAGGACGAACTGCAGAGAGAGGTGGAGAGAGGGAACAGATAGGTATCTGTATCTTAGATCCTTCTGCCTCTTCTATTGCTTCGTTTTCGCAAAGGAAAAGAGGGGAATGGAAAGGTGAAGGCGGCGTTGGGGGAACCCACGAAGTCGGAGGAACAGACAGACGCAAGCGGGTGACGGAGTGCTTTGTTGTCTCGCTCGGGCGGACAAGCTCGGTTTGCTGGTCGCTCCGGTCACCGCTCGCTCTCCACCCCGCAGCTACTATCTATCTACTATAGGGGATATTGGAACAGGGTTCTATTCGATCTGAACATACAAAACGCAAATGGGAAATCATCCGGAATTGATACAACACAGAAATCCACGCTGACTGACTGACTGTCTCCTCCGTCTTCATCCTCATCTTCATCTTCACATCGTCCCACCGACACCATGCCTACGACATCATCATCTCCTCCTCCTCGTCCACCCTAACTGATAAAGCAGAGACACCCGATCGCAATATAAAACACAAACAGCGGGTATACCGCAATGCCGACCCGGTTGCGCAACACGCCCGATCCACCCAGGATACTCACGCCCGCCGCCAGCGACCACGCAATCAGGACAAGATACACCGGTATGCGCGCAATAGTCGGGAGGCCAAAGGCACTGAGCAGAGAGGCAATAACCAGAGGGAAGAGCGTGTATCCGATGATACAAACCGACTGGAAGAATGAGCTATCGAAGGAAGGAAAAAACATTAGCAATTGACCTTCATCCAACCAATATGGGGAAAGAAGAACATACATATTTCCACCAAGCAACTTAATCTGCAACGTCACGACCGCCTCCCCAATCCACACGATGGAGAAAACGCCCGAGAACACCAGCGACGACTGCTCATCCTTGGCGCGCATCGACAGAAACATACTCAGCAGGAGGCAGAAGATCAGAGGACCCCTAGAACCATCACTTGTTAGCACACATTGCCTCCCCAAGTAAACAGAGAGTAAAAGAATCAACCCACCAAAGATCCCAATCCCTCAACCCCTCACTCATCCCACCCTGCAACACAACATCGGCATCCGGCCAGCGTCCTACCATGTTCCTCAGCCCACCCCCAAAGCCCGTAGCCTCACCTCTCTCCGCGGCACCAATCCCACCCCCGCCGCGCTGCAACATGCCCCCAATGAGGTACTTAGGCCACAACACCTGGCGCATCTTCTCCCAGACGGCCCGCAAGTCGCGCGACAGCGTCTCCCATACCGTCTCGTCAATGGTGCTCTGTGTCGCGCGGCGGTCTTCGCCGCCAATCGTGGACGTCAGGTAATTGCTGGAGAAGTTGCTTCCGCCGCCGCGGGCGGAGCTCGAGGCTTCGGGTTGGATGTTTCCGCGGAGAGGGGCGGTGTCAGAGGTGTCGTGGAGGGGGTCGTCGGCTTCGATGGCTGAAGTTTGAGACACAATATGTTAGTGAGGATATATGTATAGGTACATGGGGTGGATGGATCGGAAACAAAGGGAAGAAGGCAGCTAGGTAGCTAGGTCGGTAGTGGTTCACTCACCATCATCAGCTTCAATCACATCGTCATCGAGGATGGATTCATCGTCGCGAATGTCCCCGTGGGTGTAGTGTGGTTGTACGCTGGCCATGGTGTTTGTACCTCTGGTTGGGTTTGGGGTGTCGCGGAAGTAGTTGTAGTTAGTTTAGTTGTGGTAGGTCACTGGGACATTGCCCGCTCCGGCTGACGTGGATTGCTTAGTGGGTTGCACTGGGCTGGACAGACCGGCTGTACCCAGAGAATAGGATAGTAATCGCAAAGCGAGACAAGGTAACAGAACGTAGCAATGCAGCAAGCTGGAACTTCGGGTTTGGGGAAAGCTGGGCTGGCACGAGGCAGAGCAGCCCGTGTCGGAGAGGCTAGAGTGGCATTCCTTACGTACGCAAGCACGGGCTGAATCCGGCAGGCGGAAGAGCCCATCTGAAACATCAATTAACTGTCGATCGACACATCTATAACTGAACAATGAAATTGTTTTGGAGGAATATATGCCAGAGATAGTTGAGTACTATGTTCATATTTCAAGAGTATTATACAATATGCCCTTCATCCCCCTCATCATGTGCTAGCTATGATACATCGACTTTTCTATAACGCCCGATTATGCTATAATTTGTACTGAATAGAGTGGAGACCAAATTAGTTAGATCCACTTGGATGAAGCAGAAGAATCCGGATGGCCCTCGGCAGATAGATAGGACTGAATCAATGAGGTGGAACTCAGGCGCTTGGGACTTCTCGCTCGGCGAGTCTGTTCATCTGCTCCGCCGTTGCTCCAACCAGAGTGTTCCGGAACTTCGGGATAATGCTCTTGTCAGAGTATTTCTTCAGAATCTCGGCGTGGCGCTGCACCTCCTTAAAGGTCTCCGCGGAAACATGTTGCTTAACATCCTTAACCGAGTCGAATAATCTTCGTGTCATGGTAAGCGCCTTAAGGGCATCTTCTCCTCTGATCGCGGCTGACGGGTTGGTCTTGGCTATCCGGGCCAGGTAGGACTGTCGAGACTTTTCTCCCAACAGCTCACTGGACACGGCTTCATCGAGGTCCCGAACCAGTGGACAGAGACGCTCTGCGGCAGAAGTGATAAGGCTGGCCTTCAGCTTCACTCCCAGAGCGGTGAGGTTGTTTGATTTAGCGTCTGCCCCCGATTCAAGGCCAGCGAGGGACATCAGCAGATCCGGACTATCCCCCAGTGAATGGACCAGGTCGAGATATTGGGTTATTGACCGAGCATCGGGAAGCGCGGTGCCGTTGGCCATGAGATCCAGAAGCTCGTTGGCGTGTCTGAACACGTTGGGGTTCCTGCGGTCCCGAGTACATGAGGCCATGGATATGCGGAAAGTCTTTCCTTCTGTAGGTCCGGTGGGGTCTCTAGTCATGTTGCGTACCACCTCCACGGATTCACGACTAGCCCGTGCAGCACGGAGGATGCGTAGGTACGCGTGGTAGCTAACCGCGTCAGGTACGACCTTGGGCTCATCTCCTTGCGTAAGGTACCGCCAGTATTCCTTTGCGGCAGCTGTACCTTGAGTTATCGACAGGCAGGCTTTGAGAAGCATGGTCAGTTCCCTGTTTCCCACCTCAATATACCGCGGAAGAGTTGCTTCATCCCACATCGAGAGCCTTGTCTTCGCAGGCGGTTTCACCGTGCCAACAACGGGGTCAAAAAGATGATCGAAATTCTCCTCGGCCTCCACATCCTCGATCTCCTCGGGTTCGGTATCGTGTAATCTGTCTCCCTCGTCGACGAAAGGGATATCGTCTTCCAAATCCGCATCATTGTGCGGAGAAGATACTCGCTTGTTTTCCGGAGTTGACTCTATCCTTTCCTTCGGGGGCTCTTCCGCGAAAATCGGAATACCGGCAGTTTGATTGTACAATGCGAACACGCACCAGACATCGTGGTCACAGCTGGAATTCTCCTGCAACATGTGGGCCATGGCGTGAGCCAGATAGTTGTCCATGGGCACCTGGCCCTTCTTCCATTGATAAACGATGTCGGCCCAGACCCGTTTGGCTTCCTGGATACCCTGAGCTCTCCTTTGCAGAAGCGGCTCAACTTCCACCTGTTTTCTTTCCGCCGTCTTGATGTTTCCCTTATACAACTCCGATGTTGCGGCCCTCGTACTGCCTGCGACAGCCCCTAACAATGTGGTATAGGTCATTAAATCCGGAGCTAGTTTGCCGGACTCCGGCAGTGCACCAGCAACCTCCCATAAAACCTCCATATCTCGATGCCACCAGCAGACCTTGAGCATTGCATTGGCGTGAATAATATGGGGTTCGACGTGGGAACCCTCGGCGTAGAGCGACATGTAGATCTTAGAGGCCAATTTCACCGGCTTGAAGCCTCTGATGTCGAAGTTCTGGCTGAGCCCGTTCAGGAAGATAGTGTAAGATCTCGAGTTCAGTTCCATACCTCGCTTTTTCATCTGTTATAAGTCCAAACGAGCATATGGTCAGCCACGGAACAATAACAATAATTAATAAGATCACGGAGAAGGGAGAAAAAGGAACATACATCATTCCAAGCTCTGAAGGCAAGCTCCGGCTCCTTCTCACGCATGAGATACTCCAACAACCGATTAAAAGCCGGAATGGCTTTGAACCGTTTTTGATGGGCCACTTGAATGAGCTTCAGACCAAGCGCCAGGTGTCCGTCTGCCAGACAACGCCGGACGCGCTCAGCCAGCGCATGAGGGTCACGCAACCATTTCAACTCTGCATTCAACACGGTGCGAGGAACGAGGTACCTCTGCGGCACCCATTCCCTCCGAACAAGCCGCCGCAGTAGCGTCCGTTTATCAAGCACTTCGTTTTCGTCTGTGGTGGAACTGGGCTCGAATGACTTTCGTTTCCCATGAGAGTCTGCAGGCCGAGTCTCTCTTGCTTCGTGTTCCTCTTCCTTCTCACGAGGTGCAGTCTCCTCCCGCGAGGAACTGGCGGGTGAGCCCTCCGCGGCCACAGCCCCGTGCATCCGCCTCGCCTGCAGGCTCCCAATCTGCGCAGAGTGTCTCAATGGTGTCCCTATACGAGATCCAGAGTTCGCGATGTGAAAGAAAGATCGACTCGGAGTAGTTCGGAGCCATTGTGTGCGGAGAAGTGGTTTCATTGCCACGCTTCCGGACCGGAGAGCGGTGGCATTGCCGCAACGAAGCATCTAAGGCGAGGAACGAAGGACACGCTGTTCGGTTCGTAGTATAGAATCTGTATGTCTTGATAGGAGGGATAGGCAAGGCAAGAGGTGTATTCCAACCCGTTTGCCACTAGATATCGTGGGAGCGTGAAGCGCGTAGACGGTAGGAAACTCGGAGGTCGGCGAAGAGAATTCTGGAGGGAGAGGCAACGGCTTGGTGAAACAACCCTAAAAGGCAATAGATAGAATGCAGATAAATTTCAAAAAAAAAAAAATAAAAATAAAAATAAAAATAAAGAGAGATAATCCTTTCCCCAATAACATAAATGAATAAAGAAGAGAAACGAGGAATGCGATAGAGAAAGCAAAGCACCAAAACCAGCCCCAAAGTGAGCGTCGACCTCCGAACAATCGCAAACTCCGCCGTATCGCATATCTGCCCACTAGAACCGATAAGGTTAGTGTACTCTATCCCCTCAAACTAGTAAGTAACTCCGCTCCGGCCAGTCAAAAACACATTGTCAACCTCAGGCATCAATCTGCGCATAACCGCCGCAAGCCTCAGGCAACATGCAGGAACTAAAGTATGCACGCATCCATGACTAGACCCAACGCCTCTAGCTTAGCTAGCAACGTAGCTCAGAAGCTAGCTAGTCAGCCTAGATACCGACAGGATGGTCAGCCTTACACCGCTAGAAATTTTCAGATCCCTAGCGGCCTGAGTTTAGGCATCCCATGAAGGAGGGGGGAAGGGTAAGAGAAGAGGAGGAGGCTATTATGCAGCGGGCAAGTATCTAACCGGTCCCTGCCTTTTGCCCCCCGTCCCCTTTCCCCCCTCCCCCCATCCACACCCTCCCCAATAACGGCCGCTAAGGCAGCCAGGAACCAACAACAAGGCTAGTAACCTAACCTAAAGCTGGTCTGGGGTTCAGGTACAGCCTAGTACTTAGCCTCCCAGAAGGGTTACAGGTACCAGGTACTATACTGGTACTCACTAGTAAACTTGCCGGGGAAGCCCGCGACTAGTTCAACCAGAACCAGAGTTATCCTCTCTATCTCTCTTTGTTTTACCCTGTCAGGTAAGAGGAGGGTATGTAAATTATTCGGATCTCGCCTAAGGCCTAGAATAGATAGCTCCAACTTTACTTTCTACTTTACCCTCCTCCCCGTGGTATGTATGTTTTTGATAACTTTAATCTCAACCGAAGTATGCGTCGAAGGTTCCATGCCCTGCTGATCCATCACCACAGGTTGATAGTTTAGAGCGAGTAATGTATCGACGGACATACTACTGATTATATCTCACCGACATTGCATGATTTCTAAAAAGCCCTCCACGCAGACTTTGTTAGTCCCTATCTGCGGCAATAGTCATTCCACTAGTCGGCTTATTGCCACCGTGCGGGATGCACGCTCGTCGATTAGAGTTAACGGATTGCTATTCATCCCAGAAAGATCTACCACATGCGAGTCAATATACAGAAAGAGGCCCCCGAAACCCTCTGCAGAGTCAGAACCGCTAATGCACGATCTGCATTGCAGATTGTCCGGCCGTCGAAGCAATGCCCACGTTTCCCGGGAATTACAAGAATAGTTTCCTCCATCATGCAGGGGCATGGAGCTATGCGCCCTTCTTCTCCGTCCACGCCGGCACCTTGCGGTACCCCCGATTCGGTCGAATTGCAGGCGTAGTTGCATACAACAAAGTATCCACAGAACAGTCGAACCATTGTCATTTCACTCGAAGTAATTTACCCACTATCTTCCCACCTGCAGCCACGAGACCGGCGGCGTTCGCCTTCCAATCAATCTCGCAGCCTCCCAGGTGATCCACTCGAAGATAGAGGGCGGGAGAAAGGAAAAGAACCATGTGCATCAGAATCCGAAGACTTCCGCCACCAGACCACAGACCCGGACCGGTCTGCAGAGCAAAAGAACATGGACAAGAATATTGCACAATTTCGGGGACCAAAAACCCAGGGTAACATAATTTGGTCGGAACACATCAGCAAAAGTGGAAAAGGACGCGGACAGAGTGAATAGGAATCACAAAAGAGGAAGATCACAAGAATCATAGCAGTAAGCCACATACAACACAGGGGAACGTTTAGTAAAAACAGTTGCCGCATAATTCACAGGAAATGGTAGAAAAGCTAGTTAATGCAGACGG